TTACATACGCTCGTTAGATGTATATGGCTTCTAACTGGCTTTGGCCAGAAGACAATTCTGCATTGAGTAGTTTGTGCTTTGGCTCCACACCACACACTCACAGCCCCTCACTTCATCAGTGGGCTTTGGCGAGCAGACCTCACTTTGTCTCCATTTCTGACACCACAGCACTGTCAAATCAATCACATACACACTTATCTGAAGACAAAATGGAAACCCTTCCTTCCCTGTCACCCATTTCCATTCAAGGGATTATTCCATAGAAGATGTTGGTGCAGACATTGCTTCAACTGGAGGTATTAAGAGAACCTCAGAGTTATATCCAAACTTTTGCAGCTCAATCCCTTTAGATTAAACTCTTTATTAGTAAATCATCTCCCGCAGTTAAAGATATCCTAAATGTTCTTGTTAATGCTTGGTACACTGAAGTGTGTGATGAAATATGAGGAATGTAAATCAGTTTGTAATAAGGGACTGTGCCCAGTACCTAATGACATTTTGACTCCAGCTTCTTATTTTTATCTCTAGAGCTCAGAAATTTTAAATCCTTCCCATAATTATTCTGCTATGTGTTTTACCAAAACTAGAAATATTTAACATATAATTGCGAAGTCTTTAAGCTCTCGGGCTTTCCTCAGAATAACGAAATGGTAAGAGTTAGCCTAGACAACTGGTTTTCATTTAAGCTAATAATTTGTCTTTCAAGGAGAAATCCATGTCTCTGGCTAACTTTGTGATTTCATATGGCCAGAAAGGAAGAAAACTGAAATGGTGTTGTTCCTACAAATCCTCAGTGCAAGTATCCAAATTAGTACTGTAAATTCAATACACATTTATTTTAAAATGTATTGCAAGAATTCCTGCCCCCATTTATGGCCTTCTGGGGTAACACACTAACAGCAGCCAACAGACCAATAACTGTTCAATGAATTCCATGATGACATTCTCATTATGGCCCAGATTTTGATATCATTAATCAAGCACCATCTTATTCCATGAATAGTCATCCCACTGACACAGGCTGTCCAAATAAGGACCTATTTAGTGCAAGTAAGTCTAATAGATTTGGCATTGAATCAGAATAGGCTATGGAGATACGAACTTTAAAATTCGCATGGAAAAAATCATCTTTATGCGCAGTTCTACCCTATACTAGTACCATGAATGTCCTTTGTTATTGATGAAGTGTCTAAAGCACTCATTATTAGACAAAGGTCGTACCTTGCAGAATCAGCCTTTGGTGGACAGGGCAATCAGAAATTTGGCATAACCTTAAATCTTGAACTGTAAGCCTTCTACCAACATATAAATGTGTTACAACACAGCAAATAAAACGTAGGATCTAGTTTACTGCCATGTTCACTTCCCAATAACTTCCGTCGACATTTTATCTAATTTTCTGTCTTCCATGGATGAGTGGTTCCAAAGTGTAGTCTCATTGACGCTGTGTAACTTCAAACAACTTCCGCATTTGAAATTAACTTCTGTTCTTACAGAAACTGCTTCTGTTGTAGAGACAAAGCCATGTTGGCTCCTTAGCCCCATCTTAAAAAGGAAGTCTGGCTCAAAGGCTCAGGTTTCTGTGAAGGCACTGAAGAAGAATTTATCCTGCACTATACCATGATGTGGTACTGTGTCTTCCTAACATGCATCTGTTTCTTTTCACCCGAAAAAATAAATTAATGTCTCTGCATGTCAGTATAACATGCCACTACCCTATATCCATAAAACTGTCATGCCTTCTGACTCCTAGAAGTTATTTTGAGACTCCAGTTCATTTGAAAACTTCTGAGAAAACAAGCAAAAAGAAAAACAGAAAAAAGGGGGAGGAAGTATCTTTGGTTAATAATTATAATAATCTGGCATTAAAATTGATCAATCTTAACAGAAAAAGAAAATCCCTATGCAGCAGGTTGAGGCTGTACAGCTAATTGCCAATTATCTTTTTCACAGCACTCACGGCTTCACAGCACATACAGAACCTTCCTGCTATGTAAATAGCTTAAGGATGTGTTTTCCTATGTGCTCAGTGTTGACCTGACTTAGCTTTTAGTGAAGTCAATAGTAAAACTGTAAAGGGAATTCTCCTCCCTTCTTAGATTCAACTTACTACCACAGTAAAGTGCTCTAGTAGCAATGGCGTTGTCTATTAACATAACAAAACATGCAGCCGTCATTTATCACACCGCTTTGTCTCACACCCTCTTCTGTGCAAAAAAAAAGCATACAATATGTACTAGGCTAAGATGGAGTGCTCTTTTCCCGATTTGGGAGTCAAGATTCTAGAATGTTTTTCTAAATGCGTACTCTGGGAATCATTGAGATAAAGGCTAAATCAAACACACTGTGCCTTTGGGAAGGATGGTACTGAAACCCTCAGGCATCTTTGCCTCCTGCAGAGTTTCATTCTGAACCTGTACCCATCTCTATGAGCATTCTGTTACCATACAATGGGCTTTGTAACAATCCTGGAGAGTTTCAGTGGACCCCAGAGGTGAAGTGGTCAATCATAGCATTCAAGTCAGACCTACAAGCCCTTGAAGGTTTTGTCCTTGTAGGTCTTTAACCCTTGTCCCAGGCTAAGGAGCCTTTAAGATAAAGGCTAAAACTGTGCATTTGCTTCAATTGGTTTTCCACAGGAAACTACTGTGCAAGGAAGAGGATAAAATGAACATGCTTATTGTTATTTGGGTTGATAGACCAAGTCTCCCCAATATTCTGTGCTACCTTATATTTCCTAAACACTGAAGGTTTCACATCCAAGCAGATCACATTACCACAGTCCAGCTGATAGGCTGCAAAGACATGCTTATGTTTAAACAGACCATAATCCACAACAATAGGACAGAAATGCAGAGCTATCCGGAGAGGAAAGCCAGCTCATAAATTTTGGTGAATGCAATTTTGTAACAAAGAAGAATCAACTAATGTTCATAAGAAACTGAAAACCTATGCATGTGCATCTTCACCAAAGACTGCACAGTTGCTGCAACCTCTTTGAACATCGGGGCCTGGTTCCAGGATGTTCTGGGCACAGAACCTTAGCCTCAGTGAAATAGGCTTCAGTTTTAAGGCTTTCAATTTTTATTTTTAAAAGCTCAGTGAGAATATTTGACCCCGAGTGATTGGTGGCTTGCATGCATCCAGAATAAGCTTCTTCATATTAGTTACACTTTTCTGTTCTTAAGAGGGAAGGTCATCTTCATCCAGGAATGATACAGATTAGTCCAAACTTCTTTTAGTAAGCTAGGAAAGACCCAAATTAAATTTGAAAGCCTTGCTTCAGAGATGATTCAGAATTCAATTCCATCAGTGACTGATGGAGGATCAATGTTATGAACTCTAAGGGTTCATATGTGCTGCTCACTGACAGAAAGAGATGGAACATAAGTAACATTAAGACAATGCTGAGCACTAACAAAATTCCATCACTTAATTTTCAGAGTTCCCAAGCTTATATGTTTTTTAAGTCTTTGCAAGACTTGCATTGCTTGTTTTATTGCATTTTATAACTCTCCAATGTAAGCATAGTCTGGGGCAGATCCTCAACTACTAAGAGAAAAATGCTTAGTGATTTCAGTGACTAGAGTGTCTAAATCAGGAAAAAACTTGGCATTATTTAATTTATTTCTGTCTAAGATAGCATACAAACACTGAGCACCTTAATTTTGCAATTGCTTGTCAGAAATATAAGTACACATACAAAGTCAGGCTTGCTCAGAGCCATGGCTGATTTATTGTTCTGATGACTTTAAGAGCACTAAACTAAATGCATATCTGCCACAGATCAGCCCGAAAGATATTTAATTAGGAACTATAAGTATATTTTTAGAAAGAAACAGTGAAACTAGTATGGAGTAAAAAATCTGTCAAGACAGAAGCAGTGTGACACACTCAAACCACCGCAGTAAATGGAAAATGTACTTTGGTCTTGGTTGCAAAATATTTCTGTACCAGAATGACGTTCCCATGTGCATAACCAGCACAAAGCCAAAAAAAATAGGCTACAGGACAGGAAAGGATATTTCTGCATTTATATTTTAAGTATACGTATTTAACTAGTCACAGTAATGTCTAAGTATAAGGATATCTGGTGTCTGGAACATATCTATAGGCCCACTGAAAGGATACAGTTAAATGCACTTCCAGAAGAGAGATTATGATAAACGATTACAACATCACACCTGTAATTCGGAGATTTGTGCATGCTAGAACTGCCCAATCGCAGAAAAAATTACCATATTTTTCTTTTTACCATCAAACCCTTTGTTGAATAAAGAACAATCACAGAGCCTAACCATGGAGTGCAAGGTACCATGGGATTCACAATATGACCCATGGTTCATAGTCACCATGTGGCAGAATCACAATCACTCTGCTGCATTAGAGCTGTTTAATTAGCAGCTTTTGCAAAGACTATAGTTGTACTGTGGAACTGCAAAGAATTTTACTAAGGAAGATCCAGTTTCCTCACTGGAAATTTTTCCCTTGTTTGTTTCTTTTTGATGCTGTAATGCCTCTTTTTTTAAAAGATATTATTAAACTTGGATTGCAATTAAATATCTGTCTAATTTTATGTCATGGACACATAAAAACCTTAATTACACACTTTATGAACTATAATACAGTTAACACATGTATATATCCATCTTTATATATAGATATAGTATATATAGTATCTCAAACATTAAATGCATTTCTTTGAAAATCCTTTTATAAAGTTCAAAAAATAAGCTGCTTCAACAGCAACTTTTGTGAGATCTACTGCACTAACTATAGCAGCTTTAAACCTGACTGTCTCTTTGTAGACTCCACATTTGCCTTTAATTAAGGTTTGCTAGACCACAAACTATAGGTTCACTACATTCAGTGATTCTTTTCAGATTCAAAACAGCCAAAACTTATTTTACACAGAATTTCTCATTTCTTTGCCTTTCCACATTAGATTCTCCAGGCATTTTTAAATTTTGCAGTGCAGAGTAAATATGGACCTATCTTACCTTCCATGTGTTCCACATAGCAATACACATCGTAAGTTTCATTAGGAAAACGGCGGCCATATGTTCTGACTCCTTTCTTTCCCATTTTATCTCCAAAGCAGCCAATTCTTGGATGTCTGATTGGATACCTGAAATGCAGCATGTTCATATTTATTATTATGATAAGTCAGCATTTTAAATCTGTATAGGTTAAGCATTTTAATTTTGGGAATCTGTGTCAAGGGGCCTTTTAAATGTCTCACCTAACAGTCTGGTCAGACACCCAGCCAGCATCACACTGTTCAAATCCATCTTCATAGGCTGCTTTCAGTTGTTCTGGGCTTGCTATGACAGCACCGTTGTCTAGACAAGTCTGCTGAGCTTGTGTAAAATTCAGAGTATACCTGCTGGTTGCTGCACGATAGTGAAATACAACACCTGAAAAGACCAAAAACTTACATTAGTGACACATTTTCCATTGTTTCTACATCATTTTGTGGTAACTTTACCTAGGTATCGTTACAATGCTGAATAAAAATAGTAAAAAGAGATATGCTGTCATATAAATGATGTCCCCCCTCTAGTGGCTGGTACCAGTAATTATATAACACCTTATGTTATTAATAGCTGGTGAAATTATATTTACTGTACACCCAGAAAACAAGTAATTAAACCATATATTTGTTTTCACTCCTGTATTACAGAAAATCATGATCAAAAGGGACAATGAATGCTAAAATATGTCAATGATATCACATAGTTACCTGGACTCCTCCAGTTCGAAGTGCTGGTTGGCTAATTGCACTGCAGGCAAGGTTGCTTGTGTTAACAGTGCTACCTGACATGTTGGCTTATTGGCTCACATGACATATCCAATTGTAAGTCAAACTGCATGGCCAGAGAAGACCAAGCCCAACTAGTCCTCAGAAAAAAAAGGCTTAAAAATACACTTTCCGAAGCAGCCAGCTGAAGTAACCACACACAGAAGTGTCAACAGTGAATGGGGGGATCCCTTGATTGCTTGAGGTCTGCAAGCTGCAGTGACACATGTCATCAGTGGGGACACCAAAAAAATTGTGCATTAATGCAGATTTGATAATCGATGACGGCCCTGATGCCTGTTCCTATGCATTGATGCATACCAGAAATATAACACTATAAATATTGGTCAATTTTTCATAACCATGTTTTCCTGCACACACTACAAATGATGCAGACAAAACAAAGCTTGCTTTTATTTGGGACCTTTCTGGTTCTGGAAAGAATCTTGACAATTTCAAAAGTTACTTGACTACATCAGACATTTGGAGAGGGAAGGCTAGAGTTAAGATGGTTTTGGTTAAGATGGGATCTGTCTAGAAACCACATTCTGTTTTCTGTATACACATAATTCCCACTGAATTCAGTAACAGCTGCACATGCACACCTAAAAAAAAATCATAAAGGGCACCAACTCCGAAGTGCCAGAAAACACATATTCCACCTTGCGAAATCAATTCCGTCCTATCGCCATTGTCTTTCACAGTTTAGCATTGAAAGGATGTCTCCTGATGATGTCTGAAAAATAACATTCAACCTTACTTATTGCACTCTAAAATCCTCAGAAGCTTTGCAATGCCATAAATCATCCACTACAGAGAATGGCTACAAAGCATGAAAATTAAACCATAAAATATTCCTTTTCTCTGATTATTTTATTGGAGTACTTCATGATGAGGAAATAACATACTGTAATACAGTTTGGGAAAATGGGGGCACTGTAGCAATAATGAATTTAACAACAGGTCTGTTACCAGAGCATTGTTGAACGACGGAAGAAGTCTGCTAATTATGAGTAAATGGAAATATGGGTAACTAAGAAAAATGTTGATTCAAGAGGTTTCAACACATTTAGAAATAAGTTTTCTCATGCAGATAAATACAGTAAAATTCTGTCATTTATCAAAGTTCTGGATATAGCCAATAAATAGAAAATACACATTTTTCTTCCTGCTATGATTCACTAAGAAGGTTTCTGAGATTAAAATAGAATATATTGTCTGAAAAATGCTCACAGGAATGGGAATCTCACTGGGAATGCTCGCTGGGAATCCCCATATTTCATCATTTAATATGGAGTCACACACCAGCTGCAGGCACTAACTGGAAGCTTACAGACCACTGGCATCCCCATCAAATGCCTTTTCAGAACCACTGACAGAACCCATCATGAACAGTGCTTCTTCCACGCAACGATGTAATTTCAGCTTCAAATGGATCCAAGCATTGTTTGGCAACAGCGACAAGTGAAGAACACACCCTGAAAAATTATGGCTATGTTTATGTTACTAAATTAAATATTCCAGGTGCCTGCAATTCAGTCATCAAGAGTGTTAAATTGTTAGATTAGTTCACTGCATTATTTGGCCCAGGTCCCACAACACCCTTCCAATATCTGGACAGACCTCAGGAGCTAGCAAAGACCGGGGACAATGTCCAATGGGCACCTTCACCTTGTGCTGGGAGCCAAAGGAGCCTAACAGCATGGATGGGAGCCACACTGCTCCAGAGAGCCTCAGTGCTAAAGCACAACCTCAGACACATTTTCTTATTAATATGAACTATCTGTGCCGGGAGACACTGAAAGGGAATGTGAGAGCGAGCTTGACCAGCTCCTATATCCCTGCACTTTCTCTATTATAGGGCATTTTCTAATGCCTAGTTAGGGCAAATCTACATACCATTTGTGTTGTCTTAAGACGTGCAAAACTTTATTTAGGCATGTATGTATATATTTTAGTATTGATGTGTGTGTGCACATATTTGGGGTTTGTGTACCCTAAACAACACAGTCCTTCACTACACATCCAACACAGAGCACTGCCTTACAACATAAAAAGAGTCAGGAAACAGCAACTAATTACCTTTGAAACTGAAAAGCTTAAAATAACAAAAATAAGATTTGGATATTATTTTTTTAAGCTGTGGTATGTATTAAAATATTTATTTTAATATACTAGGTATTTAGTAACATTAGTTGACTCTGTGAGCCTATTACTTGCTGGTACAAACGAGCATGGCTCTATTCAGTAGTACAGAAGTGAATAAAAACATGAGTTCAAGTGATCTGCCTGGTGTTCTGGGTCTGGAGTAAGAGATAGGCAAGTTTTACACAGCTCACAACAGAAGCTGATAAAACATAAGTATGAACTCATAATAATATTCCCAAGCAGGGCATGTGGCTTTACTGCATGTTACTGTTGAATATACACAAACATTGTAAACATTGTCTTTTTTTGTAGCATTGGTGTTTCTGTAATATACAATATTTGACACTGACTCTGTAACTCACAGTCAAACCAGAAATGCCCAATTATGCAAAGCAATTTGTTTGTTCATTTGATTTGTTGTTTTAATTTTAATTAATGAATTTAGATTCATTGGCTGTTTTCTTAGTTAGGGTTTTGGGGTTTTTTTTTGGGGGGGGGAGGTGTCCAAGATTGCTTAACTGATTATATATGACTTCAACTGGGCACAAGAGCACTGCTTCTCAGTACAACCACAAAAAGGCTCATTAACTTAGCAGGAGATGGGCAATATATTTCTGTGAACTTGTATTTTTGAAAAACTTCCTACAGCTTAAATGTGAGTGTATTCTCCAAAAGCAGCTATCTCGCCTTTCATTTCTTCCATGTTGGAAGCAACCTTCGTAGCTAGCATAGGTTTGGGATCCCTGTGACACCTGAATAAAGTAGGACTAAAGAGTTAATATCACTGCCAATTTAAAGTAGCTTTTGCAGTGCTAAGAAGAGCCTTTGGTCATTTGTAAATCCTGGAAAGGAACTTGGAGAATGCTTTATTCTCCGCACCCTGATCCAAAAGGTAAACTTCACCTATTCTTAGAGTTGAAAGCTCTTCCATTTCCAGTGAGGAGCTAATGGACATAAAAGAGCCTCCAAGATGAATGGGAAGGAGGACGTCAGTATGTATAAGCCTGTGCACCAGCTGCAATAATTAGAAGACCCCCTGGGGCTAAGAAGATTAAAGTGCAGGACTTTCATTGTTTCATTTAGACAGAGAGAGAGAGAGGGGCAAAATCCATTGTCCGAGTTTTTGCCCTTTAAAACATTTGTAAAGGATTTTTTTCCTTTTGTCTATTTCCTCCCTGAAAGAAAAGGCAAGAAAGGAGTTGTCCTAGGAACAAATAAAGCAACTGGAAAACAGACTACAGCAGTATAATGCTGTCACTGAACATCTGGCAAACAAAGTCAGTGTAATTACAGGAAAGAGTAGCAACATCTGCAAGAAAGAGCACTCACAGGAAAGTAATTTGTAGCATCCAAAATTCACTTCTGTCTGAGTGAGGCAAAATGCTTTTAATCATTTATCTCTGTTTTAGACCAGAAAACAAAAACGTGAAGTATTTCGCTTCTAACAAACAAGGGCTTCCACGGGTAAAAGCCTGGTTCTGTGGTTTCACACCTTTGGGTTGCAACTTTGCTTTATTACTTGCCAGGGTATCGTGCAGCAAAACCCTGTGGAACTGCCAGGGAAGGGCTCCTGGTGTGGCTAATAAATTACAGTTCACTTTCTCCAGTGACCTCACACTGCTGCAACACACACTTTTGGAGTCACAGAAAGCCTGAATTTCAGAAGTTGTATCGCACAGCAAAGAATGTCTGCAGAGAAAAGATTATGATGGTAGTGGTTGTTAGTCTGTTTATTTTTATGTTAAAGCCTTAATCATATGGTGCAGACCCCTGAAATAGCCCTCAACTCACTGCCAAATCTACCCCAGTTTGGTGATCCTCCTTGCCTTTAATACAGAAGACAATTTACATTACAAATACATGCCAAAATAGAGGTTACAGGACTGAGCACTGTATGAAAGGAAGGAATGGGGCAGCATTTTCAGCTTCCTGCATGAATAATTCATTTGTGATCCTCATTCGAGGTTTTGCACCCATCTTCCGACCTCTGTCTTA